TGTTATGTGCAAAATTTTAGTAAAATAACTTCAAAATTGAAAGAGTTATTTATAAAATAGTTAAAATTTAATCAAATGTTCAAGTACCGTTATTTCGTAAACCGGAGCCAATCTGGTAAAACAGGGCATGCCATTGAATTTAGAACATCCCAATTAAGTGAGTTCAACTTTCAAAATCTTTCCTCAAAGTTAACAACTTGAACAGCGTAATTTCAACCCAGCTTATTCTTTTGTTTTCTATTTCATGCTTATTCCTCGTCTAACTTTTGAAGCACTTGATGAATATGAATTACACTTATATTAATAGATTTATTAAGAGATTACGAATAAAATGATATATAAAACATAGGTGTGCTCACAAATTTAAAAATTAAAATTTTTTGTTTGAAAGTGTACCTATTTTTTAGATTTGCCCACATACTGTACATAAAACTTGCATAACTGTGTTTTAAAGAGCGTATTATCTAAAGTAAATTTTCAGTATTTTCTGGTGATATATCCTTAGAAGTATAAAATTACGCCCACTTTCCACTTCCAAAAAAAAAAAAAAACACGTTACAAAAACCTTAAAAACGTATGGTGCGTTGGTTCAAAACGTGGCACCACGTTGGATTTTGTATTTTAGCAGCTAAAGGAACGTATACTAAAAATTTCAGACATGAGCTCACGATTTAAAAAAGTTAAAAATTTCACAAAAAAGTTCGAAGTTTGTGGGAATTGCCCATATGCATAGATATTTATCAGCGAAGTAATTCGAATCAATTTCACTCTATCGAGTACCGTATTCACCGGTTAAATAACTGTTACTCGCACAGATAAAACCGCAAAGCAATTGCTAAGCTCGGAGAGAGAAGCTCGGCCAAACATTAACATATGTGCAAGCGGCAATCTATTATTATTATTATTAATTGCTAAATTTTCACAAATGTAGGAAATACTCCCACGAACGTTCAACACATGAAAAACAATTTATGACTTTGACAGCTGTTTCCACAACTTCGAAATTTATATGTGAAATCCCGTTCACCCGAAATCGTTCCACATTCATGATAAAC